GTGTGAAATACATGTGTGACTGTCTGCATATGTTTGTATCCTGTGTATCTCTGTGTGCTGTTGTAAGGACAGAGGAATTCCAGAGGGAGGAGCAATCTAGAGGAAAGATGGCCACAAAGCAGACACCAGTCATCTTCTGTTCTTTGAACTGTATCTCATTAAGGACAAAAAGATGGCACTGGATAATGTGAGGGGGCAGGCAAAGAGGAGACAATGGCTTCTTTTGCTGCTGGAGAGTGTGTTTCCTGTATACCCAAGAAGGAGCAGGGTGCCAGTGAGCTCAGGCTGGGAGACAGCTGTAGGACAAGTTCAGTGCACTCAAAGTTTTCTTTGCATTACTCACTAACTGGAATAGACTAGTGCTTTCTATCTTCAGTTCCTCTCCAGGCAGAAGGTAACATCTACCAATCTATATACAGAAGGCTAGATTAAATGACTTGGATAAGATACACTGAACTCAATAACTTAGTGATCCAAAGGTCAACACCCCTGTTTTCTGGCATCAGTAGTGGTATAGACCCATCCTCCTCATTAACCAATCAGCACCTTTTGGTCATTTCCCAACTGAAATCTATTCTCTCCATAATCTGGAGCCTGCTGTGACAGCTCCAGGCCACTTAACCTGAAACTTCCCCTTGGCTTCTAAATCTCTGCACCACTTCATGCTTGGACATCTCACTCGTTTGCCTTAATGAGGCACAGCTGGCATTGCTAATTTATATATCCAAGTGTTGTCTCCTTTACCTGCCTGGAATATGAGTTCCTTAAAAGTTTAGCTATGCCTATTTTTCTTCTCTCAATGTTAGCTAGTGAAGGATCTGGAATAGTAGAAAGGTTCAATTAATAATGTTAACTGATTGCTAAATGCTCTTGGCCACAGGAAAAGTTCTGAGTCCCACCCCTTTTCCTCTTTCTTCCTTCTGTTCCCTCCTGTCTTCCACCTCCCTATCTCAATTTCTTTCTGGCTCCACTGTTCCTCTCCATTTCTTCATCCCACCTGACTTGTAGCTCTAATCATTTAATTGTTCTTCTCCCTTTTTTCTTGTCCTGGCTCACTTCACTTCTTTACCCTTTTCCCTTCCACCCCTTCCCACTTATGCACTCTCTTACCTGCTCATATCTGCAGGAAACAACACCAACTTCTCTTCAGTTCCATCACAGAGCAGGGACTAAACCAGCTCCCAAGGGTGGAAGCTTTATAGGAAGCTTAGTAGAGTCACCAGGCAACAGAGAGCTAATTTCATTAGTGAGTGCACTGGTTGGAACAAGAGTTATGCGACCCATAACATGTCTGAGCTGTTCCTCTACAACAGCTCAGACACATGTCCCTGGCACAGCCTCTAACCCTTCTGCCTGGCCCAAGCAAACCCCATACATTAGGGGCTGTAAGCAGAGCCCTGGCCCTGAGGGCTGACAGTAATGGGTATTTTCAAAAACTGCCTGCCTGAGTCAGTTAACTGCAACCATTCCTCTTCGCCCTGACTTAGGCTAAAGATTCTCATCCACAGAGGTTCCCTGGATATCAAAGCAGGATCAGGGTTGTGCAGAGTCGTCCCTCTATTCTCTGCTCCAATATGTATTCTTCCTAACAGGTCTCATTGTCCCCCTGGCTATTTCCATGTCCCTTCTCTTACCCAGGAACCCCTCCTAAGAAGCCATCCTATTAATTGAGTCACATCTGCAGCCCACTTACCCTTCTGTGCATAAACACGCATTTGATGAACTCAAAATACATGCCAAAAATTGCACTATATCCTTTAAACATATTGTCATATTTCCTCATTATTAAGCTTATGAGTTATGTATTGTATTCTGTTGCTTCACAGATGAGAAAATTGAAACGCCAAGATGTTTTGAATAACTTTACCGATCCAAAAGTTAGCAAGTTACAAAACTGGTATTCAAGTCCATGTCTATCTTACTCCAAAGCTCTTTATCTTAAAGTGCTATATCTCCTTATATGATCAACTCCTTCCACTCATATCTTTAGAAAATATGGTTGTAATACACAGTCCTCAGTCTGTCCATTCTATAGATTATTTGATTCTCAACTGCATGCCCACATCTTGTTTTAAGCCTCATTTTGACCAGAATCTACTTCTTTATTGCAGGCAGCATATTAATAATTCTGACCATATCTAATAATTCCTTTTCATTCTTTTGAAACATTTTCCCATCCATATTTTCATTATATCTTTAATACACACACTGAACAAAGATGCCGATTCCAATAAGTATCTAGAAAGATTAGGTAACTCCATAAAGTTACACAGCAAGTATTGTTCATATTCAGTAAACACCACCCCTTTCAACTGGCTCCCATCAGCAAAAATGAGTGACTCTGGAAATTTCAAATGTAATTTACCAATATTAAATGAAACAAATTGGTTAGAAAGCATGTTTTCAATCTTGATAAAGTACAGATTTTACTCATTCACAAATTTTAAAAATACACATTGAGTATCCACCATGTGCTCTGAACTACATTAAGTACAGATGACCCTCGAACAATGTGAGGGTTTGGAGCACCAAACCCCTGTGCAGTTGAAAATCCACATATAACTTTTGACTTGCCAAAAATATAACTACTAATAGCCCTTTGCATTTTCATTTGCATTTGCATTTGCACAGAAGTCACAGATTTCTGACTCCACAGAACACTCAGACAATCAGCTCCCAGATCTGCTTGGTCCTAAAACTGTACACAATAGGATTGAGCACAGGAGGAAGCAGCAGGTAGATAAGTACAAAGTGTTTGCCACCAAGGGTAACTGCATTGAGCCTAAGCATTAGTTCAAACAGAAAGAATTAGGAGATAGCGTAGGAGTGTGCCTATCCATACAAAAAGTTCCACCTTTATTTCTTCATCTTCAACATTGGTCCCTGTATTAGTTTCCTATTGCTGCTATAACAAGTCACCACAACCTTAGTTGCTTGAAACAACATCAATTCACTATTTTACCATTCTGGAAGTCAGAAGTCTAAAATGGGTTTCACGGGGCTAAAATCAAGGTGTCAACAGAGCTGTTTCTGGAGGCCGGCCTCATTCCTTACTGTGGCCCCTTTCAAAGCTAACAATAGCTGTCACATCACTCTTACACTGATGCTTTGCATCCCTCTTCCATATTTAAAGGAACCTTGTGACTACATGGGGCCCCCAAAGTAATCCAGAATAATCACTTTATTTTAAAGTCATTTTATTAGCAACTTTAATTCCATCTACAACTTTAATTCTTCCTTGCCATGTATCATAACACATTCACAGGTTCCAGAGATTAAGTTGTGGAAATTTGGGGAATGCATTGTTCTACCACCAAATTCCCTGACTTTAAGAGAGTAATGTGTGTCTCTGGGAGCTGGGGTAGAAGCCAGGTGGAAAGTCTTCAGATAATGTTGGATCCACTTACTGATGTTTTTCAACATTGCAAAGAGCACAACTCGGGTTACAGAACATTTTAAAGAACAGTCATAGTCTATCTAGATTTCTGAGATGGGTATACAGAAAGAAATTGGAATCACACCATGGCCTAATGAATGTACCCTCCAGACTGATTATAGGATCTAGCCATATCACTAGGAGTATTAGGTTCACAGTATTAATAAACTCTAAAAGGCATCCTGACCTTGGACCATCCTTACCTGGGGAGCACATGGCACACCTACTCCCCAGGGGCCCTTACAGGCACTTTTCTTGCCTATCTATCATCAGAATTTTTTTATTTTTCAGTCTTGGATTTTGTGGGTTTCATCATCTTTATAATGTAGCTCTGTGCCTAACTCAGATACATACAGGATAGATATTTTTCATTAACTATGAAAAAAAATAAGATGCATTTTTTCTACTAAATCAGTATTTCTCAAACTGTATGAGGTCAATTAATTTTAAGTTTTTTGGATTTTTTTTTTTTGCATTCAGCTCATCCCATCCTCTCCCTGCCCCTCCATCTGGATCTGCACTTACTCGCCTCCTCACACCAGAAACCACAATCATACCCTGTGAGCTCCAACTGTACCCTGTCTGCCTTCCTGGGAAACACAACACTGCTCCCACTCTGACCAAGAAAAAAAAAATTGAACCAATGCAATTTTATTGTTCTGAGTTTGTATACAAAATCATGTGCTTCTATATCTCTGCAAAGTCAAATTGCCATAAACATTTTGAAACAGTCTGTCTCTACTTGCCTTATCACAGAGACATTATAACACTCTCTTTCATTGGGATGCTGTAATTATCAAATAAAATATCAATCTATAAATACAAGTATTCTTATTCTGTTACATTTGATTCTTGAGCCCTTCTTAGAGTTGCATAGCACTTCACAGTTTACTAATAATTGTACTAATATGATTACATTTAATTTCATAACAACACTGGATGTCAAGGTAAGAATACACAATGTCACACAAGGAAGAGCTAAAACTTCCCCTCAATCTTTTGATCCCAAGTTATGCAACACAACTGACCCCTGCTCAGTTGTATGTATTTATAATCTTAATCCTCAAATTTGATATTTCTTCTGATTCATATTTTATTTTAATAATGTATTATCCTCAGGTGTTCTCTTATTATTTAGTGAATATAGTTTATTTCCCCCCCCCTTTAAGCTAATGGAAGCCATTCTTAACTTGAGCTAGAATATTATTAAGTTAATTTAATGAGGTCCAATTTAAAAGGCATAAAACAGAAATCGCCAATTTCTCTTCAAAAAAGTTATTAAAAATTGAATTAGTAATATCTCCTGCCTTCAGCTGCTATATGCCAGCTCATAAGTATAGGGCTACAGGACAGAACACTGAACAATTCCTATAGATGCCACTCATTCTATACTAGGCAAATGATAATTTGGCATAAGAAAAGAAAAGTATGCTCTGAGAGCAGGGAAATATTTTTTTGCTCAATTCACATCCATAGAATATGTGAAAAAATGTAAACTTGTATTTCTCATAGTCATAACTGAGCCTCTACAAAGTAGATTCTTCCTCTCTCAAATTGACAGACCCTAACGCTCTGCAGTGATCTTGGTTTGAACAAATATCTGGATGATTTTCCTTCGTATCTCCTTGGTCTTCACAGCATAGACTATGGGGTTTAGCACAGGGGGGATGAGAAGGTAGGCATCAGCCATGAGGGCATGAGTCAGTGGTGAGAGGTGCTTTCCGAATCGATGAATGACAGACACCCCAATGAGGGGCACGTAGAAGAGGAGCACAGCACAGAGGTGTGAAGCACAGGTGTTGAGTGCCTTCCGCTGGCCCTCCCCTGAGGCAATGGCCATTACTGTTCGGAGTATGAACACATAGGAAAGGAGGATGGACAGTGAGTCAGAACCCTTGGTGAAGATGACAGCAATCAGGCCATAGAGACTGTTGACACGGGTGCTGGCACAGGCAAGGCGCATGACATCTTGGTGGAGGCAGAAGGAGTGGGAGAGGATGTTGGAACGGTAGAAGGGGAGCCTTTTGATGAGGAAAGGAACAGGGAAGACCACACAGACCGCCCTTGTCAAGATGACTGCACCTGCTCTGCAGACCCCATCACTGGTTAGGATCGTGCCATACCTGAGAGGGGTCCCTATCGCCACAACCCGGTCAAAGGCCATGGCCACCAGCACGCCGGACTCAATGGCTGAGAAGGTGTGGATGAAGTACATCTGAACAAGGCAGGCATCAAAGGCGATGAGCTTGTAATTATACCAGAATATGCCTAGCACAGAGGGCAAAGTACAAAGAGCAAGTCCCATGTCTGCCAAGGCCAGCATACATAGGAAGTAGTACATGGGAATATGCAGGGACACTTCAGACTTGATGGTAGAGATGATGACACAATTACCAAAGAGGGCAATGGCATATATAGCACCCAGTGGGAATGCCATCCAGTAATACTTCTGTTCAAGCCCTGGAATTCCAGTTAAGACAAAGTAAAGGTGTTGGAAGTAGGAGTGGTTATTATCTGCCATGAGGCGAATGTGACATGGGCATGAGGAGGGAGCTGTGGGATCCTGATGGGTGGGTTCCTGAAAATACAGTGGCAGGGATTAATAATATATTAGAATCAGACCTCTCTGGGAGTGGAACAATTTTACTTTCACATGAGTGGGAGAGACTATCAGAGAGGAATGAATCCCTGAAGTACTGCTCCAAGGTATATCCTGTGGAGGGAGTTTCCACTGGAACGGGGGAACAAGACCCACCCAGGTACAAGTAAGTCATATTCAGATTAAAGCACATACTGCAGTGTCAATGCATTATGTAAAACGTTCTGCCTCTCCTGTCCTTTCCACCCCTTTTTCTAATCAGTATCTTATAAGATGTTGAGTCAGAGGCTGAGGACATAATAATTAATACAGAATCAATGCAAAATGTGAATTATTTGATTCCCCAAAAGGGATGTCCTTCCTACACACCACCCCCCTTATGCCCAGAATGCTCATGAAGGCAATGGGTTCTGCATCTAGGGCAGGGATGGAAATGCCCGGTACACATGCTTATGCTTCTGTTATGAGTACGACCCTCCTTCATTTCTCCTAAGCCCAGATGAATCAATCAGAATTAGTCTCAATGTAGGAACCTCAGATATCATTTCTAATCACAGAAAATGAAATACATTTATCATCTCTAATCTAGTAAAATCTTAATAGAAGGGGGAAAAATTATACCTAGGAAAGCAACAGTTGCAGTTCTTTCTTTTTTAGAACAATTCATTTTTTTCTAAAATGAAGTGAGAACATCCACACCCAGGGCTTACTTGAAAACTTTTTCAGGATCAGGATCATCTGGCAATTTCCTATTGATAAGGCATAGTAACCATTGTAATTGGTTATACTCTGATTGAGGAAGCCAGTATAGAGACCTCTGTGGAGTTCTGGAAGACATGCTCATATTGACGGAATCAGTAACTAGTATTTATTCCAAAGAACACACTGAGGGGTCATTCAGCTTTAGACATGAACACAAGTAGCAGTAACTATACTTCCTTTGAGAAGCTCTCACCCTTAATATACCCATTAGTTATTTTTGCCTCATCAATTGACTGGGATCAAGCTAAGGAACAATGTAGTATTCAGGACATGGACTCTAGGTCTACACATCTTGTATTCAGATTCCCCCATACCTCAGAAGAGTCCTACGTGTGTAATACTGGGCAGTAAATGCCTACCCCACAGTGGCAATGTGAAGATTAAGAGTGTAAAGGTCTTAGCAAAATGTATGCTTTTTATTATGATTACGTGGAATAAAAAGTTCTCTTTGTATGTTCTCAGTGTTGATACTGGGTTTTTTCATTTGTTTCTTTCTTACTTTTTGTTTGATTGTTTTGGATTTTTTAGTCTAAGTTCTTTTCAGTTGGTAGAAGTAAAAACCACCAGATCTCTTCTCTCAGCAAAGAATCACATGTACTTTTCTAGCTCTTGTAATTTTTGACTAATTTAGCCTCTCTTCTACAATTATTGAATATCTTATCCCCAGGCTATATAAACCTTTCTGGTTGCTCATGCTCATGATGAATCAAAAAACATTAATGTTTCTGAAATCTTTCAAAGTACCCTTTTTGAAAGATTTCTGATTTATATTTCCCCAACATTAGCCTATTTTCTCTATTTCTGTAAAATATCCATTTTTTTCCCCGTGGCATTATAAAAAACAGCCAAGTGTTGGTTCAAATATCTGGCCTATTAGATTGCCAGCATACATTTCTTTCCAGTAAACTGTTGTTTTAGTTTTTGTGAGTTGTATTGATTTTTGAGAAAGAGTTTATTTAGTTTTTTGAATAATTGTAATAAAAAGTGTAAATGAGAAGAAGTTTAAGAGGTAGACAAATAAGAGGGAAGAAGAAAATGAGGTGGGGGCAGGGAGAAGGAGAAGAAGAGAAAAACAAGATCCAAAGACCAGCAGAAGTAAAAGCTGATCTATTTCACATTTTACTAATACAGAAACTAAAGCCTCCATAAAGAAAATAACTTGCCATGAAATAATGCATAGTTAGTAGCAAAACACATCATTACAGGGAGAAGGAACAGCCTTGCTGAGGAAAATTACAAGTAAGTGCAGTGGGAACTTAAGGGTTCATTTAGAGAAAACCAAGTAAAATTGCATCCTGCAGCCAAGAGGCTTACTCCCTAATATGTGTCCTTAGATTGTATTCTTTATCTATATTGTCCAAGATCTAGAAAACTGGAAGAGTTCCAGTCTACCCCTGAAGATTAGGCAGTTAGATCCCAAATTCTTCTTTTGAAACTTTCATCTAGTCCTGACCATCTGCTGTCCCTACTTCTACATTTATGGCAAAACAGAGTAAGTGTTCTGTATCTGTCCCCAGACCATCACAAACTATATAGTTTCATTATAGATCCTCAATTGTAAGAGCAAGTGAAAAAATTTTTTAAATTACATTTCTCTATTATGTGGGCAGCAGCAAGCAGACAAGTGAAAACCATACTTCCATTTGCTGTGTACTACAGAGGCTTCCAGATTTCTAGGTATTCTAGGGTATTTGTAGATGATAGAAAAAGATTGGGACTGGCCTTAAAAGGAGAAGTTTACTCTTCATCATATCAGGATGTAAGATAGGCAAGGAAGGCCTGAGGAAACAGGAAGAAAACCCCTCCTGATGTAGACATTAATTGTGATCACCCCTCACCTGATAGGAGAGCCACAGATCCCTTTCTCAAGGGTAAAATTCTCAAACTCCAATCCTTCTAGGGTTTTAGATGAAAGGAATTTTAAAAGTACAATGCCTAACCAATACAGAAACACCCATGCAGTGTTCCGAAGGTAACACTTAATTGTCTGCCTACATCACTTCCAGTGACTAGGAGGTCCCTACTTTCTAAGACAATTAATTTACCCTGGAGGATCTGATATGTATCCATCTCTTAGAAAAGGTGATCTATTCACTGTAAAGTCAGAGACTTGTCCTTCTCTAATGGGTGTGAATGAGAATGAGGTGTGAGTGGAAAGACGGCAGGAACACAAGGCCTTGGAGTGTGGGGGTTGGAGAATGAAGGACAAAGGAAAGATAAGGCAAATCAGAGAGAAGTGACTGGGAGACAATCAGCAACTTCAGTGACAATATCCTAAAATATTCTGTTGCTAGGCCAACCTTATCCTCTGGTTTTGCTCTAAAACTTACCTGGTTACTAGAATATCCCTAGCTGGAAGACAGTTCTTAAGCAGCCTGCCAAAACCATTGCTAGTGCCCACATGAGGACTTTATTTGCTGAATTGCTGCGAAACACTCCCCATGGAGAGCTTCACAGATCAATGAACAGTATTTCTCAAGAGCTTCCCAGGCAGAGGAGCTCTCTCTGCAGGGCTGCAGAATCACCCTTGAGATTCTCACATCTGGGAAATGAGATAGTATTGGAGAGACCATTAGGAAAAGGTGGGCTTGTTTATGTGTAAGTGTTTGGGAGGCAGGGAGTTTCAAAGGCTTGTTAGTGCTTAATCCCAGTCTCTCGAGGCCATCCTAGCCACCTCACTCTTTTCATGCCCTGAAATGAACAATAGTTGTCTTTATTTTTCTCAAAACACAGCAAAACTATCAAAAATGTCCCAAGGAAAAGTGACTCCATGATTTTTCCAATTTAAAAAGGATTACAAAGTTGAAATGATTCCCTAATGACTTTTTCCTTATATTTCACCTGGATTTTTCAGTTTTCAATATCATACTAATACACTGAATCATGTTCTGAGCAAAAGGAAAACAAGAGGCCCTTCAGAGAGTCCTTAATAAATGCACCAATCAATCAGAGGCCAGTGAATATTCCACAATATCCAATTACCACCTTCAGATAATGCTGTCCCTACTTGGCCTCTGAAGAATAACACCAGCAGCAACATAAATAATAACAATAATATCTAATATTAATTCTGAGCTTTATCAGTTATCTGACTTACCTCACTTCATTTGTACTTAAACCATTATAACCCTTGCAAATTCTCATGATTTTAATACTCCTGTGAACTGGATATTGTTGAAAATTATCACCTTCATATTCCAAAGAGAAAAGAGGACCACATTGGGAAGTGGCCCAGATTCTTGGTGTAATTATAAGAATATAACTGTAGACATTACTCAGGATGGAAATAATAGAGCAGGGGCTCCTTCCTGTCCCAGGTGTGCTTTGGACTTCTGGGTCTTGAAGACCACCTTGACTAGGTAAAGAAGAAATGCTCATGTAGAATGAGGCTGATACACTAAAGCACTATAATTCACCTGCCATTTATCTACATGATCGTCCTACTCTTCCAAAACCATAGACTGTCAGAGTGTGAAAATTCCTTTTCTCAAATAAAATTCATCTCTATTTCATATAAACAGTTTTTAATACTGTTTGAAGAAATCACCATGTGGAATTGCTCAACTTGCAGTATCTTAACCCCTATATTCCACTACTTACTATAAATGTGTCATTTTGCAGCACAGCTGTGCTCTACTTCACATTTTTTTTCTACACTGACAAATCAGGTTTTTGAGTTAGTTGAATCACTATAATTTTATTTCAATCTCTCAACTTCCATTTATTTTTGTAGTTTGCACAGGTTGATGTTTTGTATCTCACATATATTCTAATTTCTTTTATATTAATTTTCTGTCATATACTGCCAGCACAAATACAGAACTAAACAGATGTTACCATCTCTCTCTTTTTTAACACCTTCAAAGCTGAAAATGGATACATATTTGTCAGGGAGTATGAAAATAATTTTTTAAGTTCTTTTCTGACTGAAAGAAGAATCTAAACCTTATTTAAGTGTATAATTGTACATACAAATGTAGAACTATACATCTTGAAAAGCATATTAAATCACTTTTCCTCTACTCAGACCTGTATTGAAAGTTGTCCCTTAAATGGTCTTCCATGTTATGTTCTTCCTGCTTCCACGTTAATCTTCTGAAGTCCATTCTTACTCCAAATGGTAAGTGGAAGGAACTTTTTAAAATCACTGTTTGCATCTT